GATGTTCAACCTGGTGTCATTAGGGAATTACAAATTAAAACAACACTGTAACTGGGCACAGTGGAGGCTGAGGCAGGAGGATCATGAGTTCAAAGCCAGCCTAAACAACTTATTGAGACCTTAAGGACTTACCAACATTCTTTCTCAAAATGAAAAATAACAAGGGCCGGGGATGTGGCTCAGGGGTTTAGCGCCCCTGGGCTCAATCCGTGGATCCAGAAAAAACACCACCACAACAACATTGAAGCTTTGGAGCGAGGTGTGTAGCTCAGTGGTAAAGCTCATGTAAGAGGCCCTGTGCTCAATCCCTAGTACTAAAATAAAAAACAAACAACAAGAATATTGAGATATCACCATGCATCTCTCAGAATGGCTGAAACCCAGAACCTGACAACACCAAATGCTGGCGAGGATGAGGAGCAACAGGAACTCTCCCTCATTGCTGGCGAGAATGTAAAATGGTAGCACCACCGTGGGAGACAGTTGGGCAGCTTCTTATAAAACTAGACATACTCTACTACAGAATCCCACCACGGAACAGTCTTGGTATTTGCCGACATCAATCAAAAACTTAAGTCCCTACAAAAACCTGCCCATGGACATGTATGGTAATTCACAAAACATGGAAGCAGTCCATATGTCCTTCAGTGGGTGGATGAATAAATAAACAATGATACAGCCAGACAATGAAATCGTATTCAGCGCCAAAGGAAAGGAAGTATTAAGTTATGGAATATGAAGGAAACTTCAGTGCATCTGACTCAGTGAGATGAGCCAATCTGATAAGGCTACACTTGGTATCACTCCAAGTACACGACACTCTAGAAGAGGTCGAACCGTGGAGTCAGTAAAAAGATCAGTGGATGCCAGGGGTTTGGAGGTCTATCAATAATCAGAGATATGTCACTGCTCTGAAGGACGCTGCAATGGCCCTGTGTCATTGTGCATTTGCCTAAACCCATGGAATATACATACAGCCCCAAGAGTGAGCCTAACGTAAACCATGGACTTTGGGTAACGATGATGTGTTCCTGAATGATGATGATGATTAAGATGATAATAACATAAAGGGCTGAAGATGAAGCTCAGTGGTAAAGTGCCCCTGGGTTCAATCCCCAGGACCAAAAAAAAAAGGAAGAAGGACAGAAAAACAAACAGTTTACTTGGGACATTCTTCCTGGTCTGCCCGCCCCTCTCTACCATCCTGGTTCTTTCTCTCTGCTGCCCAAGTGTTCTGACCACCCCACCGGGGAATGTGTTTACTGGGGCGTCTGCCTGCTTTCCTCTTCTTCGTGGTTTGCTGGATCCTTTGTTAAAGATTTTCCAGTTTAGGGGCCAGCCTGGCTGGAAGCTTCTGGATCTCCGGTTCCTCTGCCAATCTTGTAGCCACCCACCCCCCAGCTTCCTGCCAGCCCACTGATCTTCTAGAAAGAATTTCATAAACAAATGACAGCCCTGAGCTGCTCTGCAAGTACTGTCCTGGTATAAACGTGTATTCTGACACCCAATGGAGGAGAAGAAAATTCAAGATTGGGGAGAGAAGAAAATCCTGGATAACTCATTAACATCACCTCCAACCAGGCTTAATCTGGCCTCCTTTGGAGTGAGTCTGAAGTGAGAGGAAAAACATCTTCCCTCCTCACCCTCCAAGGGAGAGAGCTGTCATGCAGAACAGACTTGAGGGGAGCCCACCGACTGTGAGCCCCACTTCCATTTCCCAGGCCTTGATTAAGACTTTTAGAGGCATTAAGCTCTGAAAAGATTGGGCATCTCCACCCCAAGGAGAAGTGCAAAAATATAATCAAATATAAGCTACAAATAAATGTGAGGGAGCCCTTCAACACTTCGCATGATTCCAAGATGACCACTTTGAAATCTTTCAGTTTTTGAAATATGTAATGTGAAATTCTTTTTTTTTTTAAAGAGAGAGAGAGAGAGAGAGAATTTTTAATATTTATTTTTTAGTTCTCGGCGGACACAACATCTTTGTTTGTATGTGGTGCCGAGGATCGAACCCGGGCCGCACGCATGCCAGGCGAGCGCACTACCGCTTGAGCCACATCTCCAGCCCCACAATATGAAATTCTTAGATGGGTTTCTCCTTCTTTGCTGATTTCCTTGTGTGGATTTGTTTTGCACGTTGCTCCTATTTGTAATCAGCTCACACCCCCAGCTGGTCTTCCTGCCTAGTGCTGGGCTGTGGTAGAATCATTTCTGAGCTGACCTTGTCCAGGTGGCTCTGAGCTAAAGGGTCCCTCCATGAAACAGGGTCACTGACTCAAGTTCTTTCTCACCAAGACTGTGCTTCATCCTCCAAGGCACACCAACTCCAGGCTGATCAGGGACAAGATGAGCAGGGAGGCGGGGGGACAGAGTCCTGTATAGGCATTAGTCCTTGGGCTAGGGTAGTTCAGCTTAGGAAATCAAACTCGAATCAAATTGATTGCTTCTGGGATCCCTGTTGTAAGCTAAAAGCAATTTTAGGCTGGAGTGGGTGGCCCAGCATGGGGTCTTATCATCAGGGGCCTGGGTCTCTTCTGACCTAGGGTGGCCGAGAGAGTGGAACAGAGTGGTCAAGAATCCACTTTGGAACTGACCAGCCATTAAGGTACATTGCCTCCTATAAGTGTTAGAGGGTCACCCCTGCACTATAGATGGGTAAACTGAGGCCAAGTTCACCTGCACAAAGATGGAAGAGTGGGGTCTGCTAAGGGGGTCAGTGTTGAGATGTGGCTCAAAGTAACCTGCAGGGACCACAACCTGGAGCCCCTTTTTCATGTTTTATCATCTCCTGGAGCTTCTGATGCTAGAGTGAAAGGCGAGAAGCCTCTGGACATCAATATCATCACTGCACGTTTGGTCCTACTATGTGCTGGGTGTTCAGGTAAATGCTTCAAATTTGTCATCTCATCTACACAGCATCCCTGCAAGGTGGGCAATTTTTCTTTCTTTCTTTTTGGTACTGGGGATTGAACCCAGAGGTGCTCAAGCCACATCTCAGCCCTTTTTTGTATTTTATTTAGAGACAGGGGTCTCACTGAATTGCTTTGGTCCTCACTAAGTTGCTGAGGCTGGCTCTGAGCTCTCGATTCTCCTGCCTCAGCCTCCTGAGCTGCTGGGATTTGCCCAAAGTAGGGGCTTGCTGGGGACTTCTTACCCGCTGGAAGAGAAGCTTCATGAGAGCAAAGCAAGTCCGACTCGTGGCTGTAACCCCAGTCACAGAACCTAACACAGTGACTGTTGTATTGTCAGCGAGCAGTGGATATCTAGCAAGTGAATAAATCAAGGAACGATGGATCGACTTCTTTTGGACCCAAATCTTTGCTCTTTCCTGGTTTCGCCCAGTCCAGGTGGCTCTGAGCTAAAAGCAGGAGCCCTGGGAACTTCCTGGTGGAAAAGGCACCCTGGGCAGAGCTGGCTGGAGCTGCCTGGGGAAGAGACTGCAGCAGAGCCCAGGCCGCCTGGCCTCTGCTGATTCAGGGAACCCCTGCCCTCAGCCCTGCCCAGCACACCTGGTGGTTATGTGGAGTCCCAGACAATACCGGGAGGGTTTCACCACAGAATCAGCATAGGGGCTGTACATCTAGTCATTCAGAAGATCCTGCTGGCCTCACTTATCCTCAAACCTTCTGTTGCCATGGCAACCGGCCTCCATCAAACCAGAGCTTGCTGAGGGCATCCCAGTTAACCCCTTCCTGTACAGCAGGGCCCTCAATATTCTTGTCCATAGGGCCTGGATGCTGATGCCCAAGCCAAGAGACAGTGGCACAGGAGCCACCAGACAGAGGAAGGGTGGGGTTGTGGGCAGTGCAGGCTGGGGAGGTCAAGGTTGAACAGGGTTGAATCTTTGGGTCAGCTCTGCAAACTCAGATATGCCTGGAAGCCTTTCCAGCCTCAGTTTGCTTTCTTGCAAGGTGGACACAACAGTGTGCCCGCTCACGGTGCTGCTCACGGGTGGGACGTGCGTGGACTGCATGGTGACAGATCTGAGGAGCTGGTGGCACACAGCTAACGCCAGTTTCTGGAGGCCAGGTTCAGGGTATCCACACAGGAGGAGCTGGGTGACACACTGTTATGCAGGGGCCCCACATGTCAGGGGACAGCTCACCAGTCCTAGACACACAGAGTGATTCATCTGGAAAAAAGGAAGCCCACAACCACTCAGACTGTCCCAAGCCTGGAGGTTGCCCAGGGAGAACCCTTCAAACAGCCCATTCATTCCACATTGAACTCAGCCGGCTCCAGTCCCACAGGGCTCTGGACTTTCAAAGTGAGAGGTTTGACTCGAATATTCAAGTCAGGCTGCAGGAGGCTGGTGGAGAAGGGGAGGCCTCCGATAAGTCTGAGGGGAGAAGGTGGGACTGGGCCTGGGTTATCAGAACTCACTAGCAGCCTGTGGGGTGTGCTGGGCCCTGTCCATGCCAACTCCTCTCAACTCCAATTGAGCAAAAAGACCCCTGGGGGATGTGAGGGTAGAGTCAACCAGAAAAGGTAGCAGTAATGTCCCACTCCCCAGTTTACTGAGGGAGCGCAGGGTTCAGAGGGATGAAGGCCAATAAGGTCACATTCCTCACCTGCTGCTTAGAGGGGTAGGATGGCTCCCCCTGCTCTGGGCACAAGGACCCAAGTCCTGGCTGGGCCTATAGACCTCCAGGTCCTGGCCCCTGCCCACCTCTCGGCTCACTTTGCATGTCTAGGCCCAGCTACTCAGTCTTTGTTTTTTTGGGCACCAGGGATTGAACTCAGGGTTGCTTAACCACTGAGCCACATCCCCAGCCCTATTTTGTATCTTATTTAGAGACAGGGTCCCACTGAGTTGCTTAGGGCCTGGCTGAATTGCTGAGGATGGCTCTGAACTTGGAATCCTCCTGCCTCAGCCTCCTGAGCGGCTGGAATTACAGGCGTGTGCCACTGGCCCCCCCCTCCCCAGGGGGTGGGGGGTGGGGCAGTCTTTCTTTATTATTGTTTTCTAAATGAATTGTGCTTTCTCCATCCACAAGGCTTCTGCACACAATGGATCACCTCTACCTGAAGGGGCCATGCACTCTCTTCCCAAGTTCAGTTACTGCAACTCCTTCATTGTAAGTTACTTAGGAAACACTGAACTGTCGATTTTGAAATAATGTCAGAATACATAAAAGTTGCAAAAAAAAATCATACAAATAATCCCCGTCTTCCCTTTGCTCGTTTTCCCTGAACGTTAGCCTTTTACCCTGCTTGCGTCTGCGCTGGTTGCTGGGTTCCTTCCCAACTCCCTCTTCATGGACTTCGCGATGCCAGTGTGAAATTGGCCGTGGACAAGAGCACCCCAGAAATAATTGGTAGCTGGACTTTTTCCCCTTGAGAGTTGATTCTTGGGCTGGGGATATGGCTCAAGCGGTAATGCGCTCGCCTGGCATTCGTGGGGCACTGGGTTTGATCCTCAGCACCACATAAAAATAAAGATGTTGTGTCCACCGAAAACTAATAAATAAATATTTTAAAAAAAGAGAGTTGATTCTTAAACAGTTTTAGCATATTACCATTTTATCCATCTCCCTCTTCTCTCTCTCTTTATTTTTTCAGTGCTGAAGATTGAACCCAGGCCCTCATGCATGCTAGGCAAGCAGTCGACCACTGAGCCACTCTCCTCCTCTTTTCTCTCTTTTTAATCAACCTTTTCTCTTTATATGTACAGGAAGTAGGTGTGTACACTTACTTTTTTTTTTCTGAACTGATTGAGAGTAGGTGACATATATGTCTCTTTATCCTTAAATATTTCTATGTGCATTTCTAAAAAAAAAAAACAAGGTCATTCACTTACATAACAACCACAGTATGTTTATCCAAATCAGAAAATTAGCAAGGCTACCGTTCTATTGTTTGATGTACAGACATTTTTCAAATGCCTCCAACTATCCTACTAAAGTCCTTTATAGTAAAAGAAGAAACTTTCTCTGGTCCAGTGCCCAGTGCAAGCCTACATATTGTATTTAGTTGCCATGTCTCTTCAATATCCTTTAGTCTAGTATTATTCAGTCTTTCCTTGTCGTTCATGACCTTGAAATTTCTTTAGGGGACAGACCACTGATTTTGAGGAATATACTTCAGGTGGGTCTGTCTGGTGTTCCTGCTTGGTTAGATTCAGGTCCTGTAGATTTGGAGGTCAGGGATAGCACACAGATGCTGTCGTGGCCATCTCAGGGCATCCCATGGAGGGACACATTATTGTCCCATTACTGGTATGAACTTGGATCACTCCATGTTTGCTACTTTTCTCAGAATCCAGATTTGATTTTCCTCACTTTGTCATCAGCAGATTTCTTTGGGGAGATATTTCGAGATATGAAAATGTCTTGTTTCCTATCACCCATTACATGTTGAATATCCCTTATCCAAAATGCTTGGGACCAGAAGTGTTTTAAATTTGGGAGTTTTAAGAATTTTGGAATATTCATATTGACTTTACTGACTGAACATCTCTAATCTGAAAATCCAAAATCTGACATGCTTCAAAATTCAAAGTTTTTTGAACACTGACATAACACTCAAAAAGTTCAGGTCTTGGGTAGAACATTTCAGATACTGGACTTTCAGATTAGGAATGCTCAACCTGTAGTTGCAGCCTCCATTGATGAATTTTGCCTGAAATGGTTAATATTATGGTGATAGTCAAGCAATTATTTTATTTATTTTTGGTACTGGGGATTGAACCCAGGGACAGTTAACCTCTCAGTCACTTCCCCACCCCCTTTTTTAATTTTTATTTTTTTGTAGTGGTACATGAACAGCATGCCTTTATTTTATTTGTTTCATTTTTATGTGGTGCTAAGGATCGAACCCAGTACCTCACACATGCTAGGCAAGTGCTCTGCCTTTGAGCTACGGCCCCAGCACCCCCAGCCCTTTTTATATTTTATTTTATTTTAATATTTTTAGTTGTAGATAGACACAATACCTTTATTTATTTATTTTTTATGTGGTACTGAGGATCGAACCCAGGGCCTCACACATGCAAGGCAAGTGCTCTACCACTGAGCCACAACCCCAGCCTCTTATATTTTATTTTGAGACAGGGTCTTAACTAAATTGCTTAGGGCCTTGCTGAATTGCTGAGGGTGGCTTTGAACTTGTGATCCTCCTGCCTCAGCCTCCTGAACTGCTAGGATTACAGGCGCGCACCACTGTGCCCAGCCTTAAATGATGAGTTGAAATTTTTGGGTTTTTTAATTAAATTTATTTATTTATTCTAATTTGTTATATATGACAGCAAAGTGTAAAAATTCTGTTATTATTTCTGCATTCTACATTAAAGAAGAGCTTCTTTCCTTCCCCATTTATTGTTGTTGTTGGATGGATTTTTTTACTTCTTTATTTGTGGTGCTGGGTTGAAACCTAGGGTCTCAAGCATGCTCGGCAAAAGCTCTACCACTGAGCTGCATCCCCAGACCCCAAACATTGTTTATTCATTCTTTTATTTAAATCAAAAGAGATCCATGGATTCTTATATAATTCTTTGAGTTATAATCTGTCATTCTCATTATTTACTTCGTATAAATAAGGCCAAATTTGTCCAGGGAAACACAGTTATGCTGGCTCCTGTACCTATTGACAACTCCCCATTTATCTAATTTATTTTTTATTTATTTGTTTGTTTGGTTTTGGTCCTGTGAGTTGAGCCAGGATCTTTCTTTTTTAATATACCTTTATTTGTATTTATCTATTTTTTTTTTAATGTGGTGCTGATGATTGAACCCAGGGCCTCACGCATGTGAGGCAAGCGCTCTACCACTGACCCACAACCCCAGCCTGAGCCCAGGATCTTGCACATGCTAGGCAAGTACTCTACCACTGAGCTACAACCACAGCCCTTTAAAAATTTAATTTAATTAATTAATTTTGCAGTCCTGGGATTGAACCCAGCGGTGCTCTCCCCCTGAGTTACATTTCCAGCCCTTTTTACTTTTTTATTTTGAGACTGTCTCAGTAAGTTGCCAAGGCTGGCCTTGCACTTGTGATCCTCCTGTCTTAACCTCCAGGGTAACTGGGATTACAGGTGTGAACTACCACACCTGGCTTATTTTATTTGTTGTTATTATTATTATTATCATTTTTAGCACATCCTCGTTTTCTGGCACAACCAGATAGTCCAGGTTTGTCTTGTTCTTTCTCTGAGCTGGCTCTAGAATTAGCTGTTTCCCACAAGGTCCTGGTTCCTTTGTGTGAAGAGTGGTATTTAGAAACGAAGATCTGGGAGCGAGGGATGCTCCCTGCCTCTGGTCAAGGTGCACCTTTTAAATTTCTGACAACAGGCTGCATTTCACAATCATGGCTGTCGAACAAGCCCTTCAGTTTGGCATTTAGCTCTCCTTCTGGCCATTCTACTCAACCAGGAGCTGAGCCCATCATGAACACTCAGCCAGGACTCCTTCTCACCCTTCTTTCCAAGCCAGCCTACGAGACCCTTTTGTCCTGTCTTCCCTCTCCACTGGACCAGCGCCTAGAAGTCCATCGGCCACAGACTGGAACTTCCAGCAGGCCAGCCTGTGCAGGGCAAGGTGGACTTCTCTTGCATTTTACCACCCTCTTCTCATCTCTGCCTTTACAGGTCCTTCTTTGTTTTAAGTAGGAAATTTAAAACAAAGCCCTTCCTGGGCTGAAGGAAATCTAAGAGAGCTCTTTCAGAAAGCACAAAATAACATTTCTACATGCAAGAAGTCGCTGTGTCATGGTTAATTGGATGAGTTTTCCTTTCTCAGTGTTATCTATAATAATAGTGTGGTACAGGGTGTGGTGGTGCATGCCAGAGATCCTAGCGACTCAACTCAAGGCTAAAGCAGGAAGATGGAAAGTTCAAGGTCGAACTGGGTAACTTGGTGGGACCCTGTCTCAAAGTTTAAAAAAAAAAAAAAAGGGCTGGGTTCAATCCGAAATCGCCAATAAATAAACAAATAAATAAAATAATGTGAATAGTCAATAGCATTTAGATTTGATGAAATGAATAACAACTAGTTATCCTTCAAAACTGAGCTCAGTGGTAGAGTGCTTCCTAGCATGCACAAGGCCCTGGGTTCAATCCCTACTAGCACAAAAACAAAACACCAAACAAAACTAGTTGGGCCAGGAGGTACATGCCTATAATCCCAGTGACTCCAGAGGCTGAGGCAGGAGGATTGCAAGTTTGAGGCCAGCCTCAGAAATTTAGTGAGATCCATGGCAACTTAGCAAGCCCCTGTCTCGTAATAAAAAAGAAAAAGGACTGGGGATGTAGCTCAGTGGTAAAGTGCCTCTGGGTTCAAATCCCAGGATAAAACTGGATTCAAACCACTTACCTCCTAAATTCTTTTCCAGCATAACACTCAACATAATTGGGCACTATGTTGTTTTTTTATCTACATCTAAAGAAGCTAAAATTAAGAGTAAAGGTGTTATATAGTCCAATTTTCCCTACCTTAAATAATGGAAATAAGTTCCTATTACTTTGTTACAGAATTACGAACTACTCAGGCGAGGGTTATGGCTCAGTGGTAGAGCACTCACTTAGCACGTGCAAGGCCCTGGGTTCGATTCTCAGCACCACATAAAAATAAATAAATAAAATCAAGGTTAAAAAAAAAAACATTACTCATGGAGAGTGGGAAAAACGTGTATTATTGACCTGTTAGGCTCATATAATACACAGAAAATGTTGGGGGTAAAAGAATAAACATATTTAAGGCAAAATATTCTACAACAAAGTTCTAAATTGACTGCTATTACTGAATTAATCTCAAGTTAACATGAGATGTGGCTTACTTATGACAAAATAAATAACACTAGTCAAAAAGTAAGAAAAAAGGCTGGAGATGTGGCTCAAGCAGTAGCGCGCTCGCCTGGCATGCGTGTGGCCTGGGTTCGATCCTCAGCACCACATGCAAACAAAGATGTTGTGTCTGCCGAAAACTAAAAAATAAATATTAAAAAAAAATTCTCTCTCTCTAAAAAAAAAAGTATCTCTCCATCCATTATATAACTTCATTTAATTAAAAAAAAAGAAAAAGAAAAAAAAACTTGGGATTAGAGAATTCAAAGATTTATCCTATTTCTCAGTTCTGCAGCATCATAAAAAATAAAAACCAAACCAAACAAAAAACCCTCCAGTGATTCCTGAAACAAACACCCAAACAACACTCAACATAATTGGTAGCATAGATTTGGGGGTCACTATTGGCTCATATTTGCCTGAATGCCACATGGGTGCACACCAATCTCTCCATTTTGAATTCATTCCTGCATCTTCAAAGCCTGATGAAGGTAGATGCTCAATAAAGATTTGTGAAAGGAAATGACTGACTCAGTTAATCTTCACAAGGAGCCTGCAAGCAGAGATGCCTTTCCCGGCTTTACAAATGCAGAAACTGAGGTTCTCAGAGCCAGAGTTGTCCAACGTTGGACCGATGCGTGGTAGAATCAAGATTCAAATTCAGATACATCAGATGGCAACATTCGTGCAGTGTTTCCTCAGAAGACATGGCTTTAGCAGAGAATCAAATTGAGTTTTTAGTCCCATGATGAGTTTAGTCCCCAAAGGAGGTCTACATTCTTAGAAATTGGGACACAGTACTAATATGATTCAGGAAAGGGCACAGAACAGGGCAGGTGCTGCAAAACCAGCTCGTCCTTTCCCACACTCCCATGGGGGAGCCCTGGACTGCCCTGCCCCCTCGTGAAAGGCCAGGCAGAGGCCAATCCGACTCAGACACAAGCAGCTGGCCTGGCCCTGCCAGACCCCTACATGGACCCACCCCTAACTTTGTCTGACAGGCTCTGGGACCCTCCACGATTTTTTCTTTTTGTTTTTGTTTTGGTATGGGGGATTGAACTCAGGGGCAGTTGGTCACTGTGCCACATCCCCAGCCCTAATTTGTATTTTATTTAGAGACAGGGTCTCACTGAGTTGCTCAGCACCTCGCTTTTGCTGACGCTGGCTTTGAACTTGTGATCCTCCTGCCTCAGCCTCCTGAGCGGCTGAGATTACAGGTGCGCCACTACACCAGCCCCTCCATGGTTGTTTCTGAGGCCAGGATCACACCTCTCAAGGGCTTCGTCTTCCCACCCTAGCTGCCTCCTGCACATGCGCAACCGCTGGGCAGAGCTACCATTACTACTTCTGCTTCAAAGGTAAGGAAACTGAGTCTCGAAGGTCTTCAATACTCACCAGAGGCTAAGACTCTCATTTTCTCCAGCTGTACAATGGCAGGATCAGATTTGGTGGGGACACAGGCTTGTCCAGCTCTCCAAATTCATTTTGATGGCCAGTGGCCACCTCCTTCGTTACCACCCCACCCAACCACAGGGCTTTCCTGCCCTCTTCCAGGGGAAAGGACATTTTAGGGGCTTCCTACTGAACTGGCTGAGTCAAACACAATCCTCATTCATGTTCCAAAGACTTTGATTGGGTCACCACCTGATCTGTACCAGTCTGGGCCAGGCAGCCAGGTTGAACTTGCATGCAGATGATTTGAGAAGCATTAAGATCATCTTGGTTGTTGTTGGTTTTTTTTTTTTTTCGTAACAGAAAAGCCACACATCCTGATACTTCACACTTACACACACTGGTGGGTGCCAAGTATTCATACCTCCCCACCCTGTGAAGTAAGCATGGTTATCTCCCCATTTGCAGATGGGAACACAGACAGAGGGAGGTTAGCAACTAGCCCAAGGTCAAGATCTGGAATTTGAACTTAATTTTATTTTATTTTTTAGTACTGGGGATTGAATCCAGAGATGCTCTGCCACTGAACCCCATCCCTAGCCTTCTTTATTTTGAGACAGGATCCTGACTAACTAGCTTAGGGTCTTGCTAAATTGCTGAGGCTAGCCTCGAACTTATGAGCCTCCTGCCTCAGTCTCCTGAGTTGCTGGGATCACAGGCTTGTGAACCACCTGGCTGGAATCTGATCATCTTGAATGCAGCCATTGCATTGCATGGCCTCAGATTCCACCCTTGGAAGCCCACACCCTTCCTCCCTCCCTCCTTCCCTTCCCTTGAATCGATCTCTCTCTCTCTCTCTCTCTCTAAACAGGAATAGGAATACACGGAATTCATGACTTGCCTAAGGTGTGGCAGTATTAGACTCCTGTCCGTGCTCTCTTTTGGAGCTCAAACTCTGCAGACAGGAGCCTAGACACACCTGGACCCTCCGTGTGAAGGTGGGCGAGGTGTGAAGGGGCGGGGGAGGCCAAGCCGCAGACCCCTCTGGATGTACCCACTGATTCTGAATCTCCTGCAGAGGCAGGGAAGGGGTAGAGGAGCTAGAAGGGGTGAACAAGGCC